TCCTCTGAGTATGAACATGAGTATGCTTTGTGAGTAGTTACGTTTGTTCCTGAGGACATGGGAGAAGTCTTGTTATAAGTAATCATGTGAATTTGGTATTCGTTCGATATTTTGATGAGATGTATGTTGCCTCTCCTCTAGTGGTGTTATGTGAACATCGACTACATGACACTTCACCATGATTTGGTCCTAGGGGAAGGCATTGGTAAGTACTAAGTAGATGATGGGTTGCTAGAGTGACAGAAGCTTAAACCCTAGTTTATGTGTTGCTTTGTAAGGGGCTGATTTGGATCCATATGTTTCATGCTATGGTTAGATTTATCTTAATTCTTCTTTTGTAGTTGCGGATGCTTGCGAGATGGGTTAATCGTAAGTGGGAGGCTTGCCTAAGGAAGGGCAGCACCCAAGCACCGGTCCACCCACAAACCAAATTATCAAACTAACGAACATGAATCATATGAGCATGATGAAAACGAACATGACAATAATTCCCATGTGTCCTCGGGAGCGCTTTGCTTTATATAAGAGTTCTTCCAGGCTTGTCCTTTGCTTGAAAAAGGATTGGGCCACCTTGCTGCACCTTATTTACTCTTGTTACTTGCTACCCGTTACGAATTATCTTATCACACAACTATCTGTTACCGATAATTTTAGTGCTTGCAGAGAATACCTTGCCGGAAACCGCTTGTCATATCCTTCTGCTCCTTGTTAGGTTCGACACTCTTACTTATCGAAATGACTATGATAGATCCCCTATACTTGTGGGTCATCAGTGATGCACCGCAGCTCGCGTCGAAGGAGACCCGTCCGGAAGCGCGGTACGCAAGCAATCCGGCGGGCGCTTTTGAGCACCCGAAACCCTACGCGCCCGGGAGAGACCTTGTCAGGGTGTGCAGCGGCTATGGGCTTCCCTAGGTCGACCTGATCGCCCTTAGGGCCTTGAGATTGCCCGCTCTGTGACAAGAGGAACAAATGAAGAGCGAGAAAGAAGGAGAACAAGGGAGAGAGATAAAAGTAAAGGTAAAACTTGTAGATGATTTGATCGATTGTGTGTTATTGTTCAATAGGCCATCATCCCTCATGTATATAAGAGGCTGCTAGACTTCCCGTCCAAGGAAACAGCGCGGATTCACATCCAAAACCCTATTTTGGTTCCAATTCAGATGGCTAAGTCCAAACCTTCCAAAAATGTTGGGTTAAAACAATGAGTGCACCTTGCGGGTCGTTTTTTAGGCTGTAAACAACCTCGGTTGGAAATTGCGTAAAACGCAAAGCTGTTCGCCTTGAAAAAAAATGAAGAACTTTCATTTTATGTGTTTTTTTCATCTGGATCCATCTCGAGGCCTTAATCTCTCTCGTATAGATCAAACTAAGAAAAACTGGTAATTCCGAGTTGGACCGGACTGTTCACCGGACAGTTTGTTCCAAACAGGAGGTTTGGGCTATTTTCACAATCTGAACCGGACAGTCCGGTCCAATTTCTGGATAGTGTGGTAATGTCAATTTTTTCTGCAGCAACATTGTTTTAGCTTTAACGTTTCCATACGATCTCGGATGAAGAAGATTTTTATATCAAAATCGATCGACTCGATGAGATGAAAACAACTTGTGTAGATCAGTTTTTCATATGAGGCTGCCTTGAGGGTGTAATCAGCCGAACGGTATTCTAGATACAAAATATCAGTACTTCAAACACAGGTTCGGCATTAGGCTGGTCGTAATGGTAGTATCATAGCTAGTGTCATGCATGCCAACTAGGCAATTTTGATGAGGTGTCATAGCATTAAATGAAGAAAAAGAGGATGGAGTATCATTTCATGATACTGTATCATAATAAATGCTATGCTACTTTGTGTCATGCATGGCAATAAATAGAGTGCTACATGATACTAACATATGACACTATGCATTAGGGAGGTAGTATCATACACTAGTATCATATGCATGATACTACTATATGATACTCCCCATTACAGCCAGCCTTAGAGATGAGATCGGATGGCTATGGCCCAAATATCAAAGTTTCTCCTTTTGACAATACGGAACTTTCCCACTTTGAGCACTTTTCCATTTGAGGCCTTCTTAATTATGTTTTTGACCATGCCAAAATCTGGTGTCAACACATGCCCCCTGTTTTTCGGCAAATCTTGCATCCCGAAAAATAATATACACGGAGCTTGTTCTAAGGACGATGTCAACACTCCATCGGCCATTTGCATGTGCTCAAACAAGCAATGGTCACCTGGTATATATTGACCATTGCTTGTTTGAACCTCTTGATGCAAACTTGGGTGAAACCTTCTCAACTTCATTAAAAATCAAGTGATAAAGTTTCATAGATATGTATCTCAAAGCCATCTTCCGAACCATATTGTTCACCCTTTCGCTAGGATATTACAAATAATCAAGAATGAACTTCCTCTAATCTTTGCTTTCGCCTGCATAAAAATTTCATTATTGCTGATACATCTCCATCGTATCTAGTTTTCCTAACACTATTGCTCTTGTTTTGGACTCTAATTTGCATGATTTGAATGAAACTAACCCGGACTAACACTATTTTCAGTAGAACTACCATGTTGTTGTTTTTGTGCAGAAATAAAAGTTCTCGGATTTGGACGAAATTTTTGGAAAATTATTTTGGAATAAATAAAAAACTGGAACCAAGACCCACTAGAGGGGGGACAGCTGCCCACAAGGCACCAGGGTGCACCACCCCCCTTTGGCACACCCTGGTGGGTAGTGGGGCCCACGAGGCTCCACTGACGCTAATTCCAACTATATAAATTCAAATTTTCAGAGAAAAAATAGGAGAGGAAGTTTCATCGCGTTTTACGATACAAAGCCGCCACCGCCTCCTTTTCTTCATAGCGAAGCCAGATCTAGAGCCCGTTCGGGGCTCCGGGAAGGGGGATCTTCGGTCTTCGTTTTGCTAATAATCCGACTATGGTTAGCGTGCTAATAATTCATAGCCAGATCTTGACAATTGATTTTGAATGTGCTACATATATGTTTGTGCCCTTTTTTTCTTCCAGATTTTCAAAATTGATTTTGAATGTCCTACATGTATGTTTTTGCCTTTTTTCTTCCAGATTGCTATATATAGATATGAGGCTCCGGCCAGCGCCGCCGCCGGCTATAGATCCTGCACCCGGCAGCACGGACAGAAGCGGCCTCGCACCCTGGATCTGAGGAACCCGTAGAATATCGGGCGAACCGCATCAGCGATCTCCTAGACGCCATCCTTGGGGAGATCGTCTTCCTTCTCCCCACCAAGGATGGCTACCGCACACAGGTCCTCGCATCTCGGTGGCGCACTCTGTTGCGCGCTGCACCTCTTAATCTAGACTGTCGCCGGCTATCTATCATTCATAATTTTGAACTCCACGGAGCCATCATCTGCTCCCACCAGGGATCCATTCAATGCCTATGCATCTTGGCAGGCTGTTGATGTCTGCTACAACTACGTCGGTATTTCCCCTAAGAGGAAGGGATGATGCAGCATATCAACGATAGGTATTTCCCTCAGTGATGAGATCAAGGTTATCGAACCAGTAGGAGAACCACGCAGCACTACATGAACAACGCCTGCACACAAATAACAAATACTCGCAACCTGAGGTATTAAAGGGGTTGTCTTTGGGTAACAGGCCCAGAAATTGGCAAAAGGACGTGAGAAAGTTGTAATAAATTGATAGATAGTCACGCGGGAACGCGAGATAAAATAAATAAGATTAAATTGCGGCAAGGTATTTTTCTATTTTTGGTTTAATAGATCTGAAAATAAAAGCAAAGGAAAATAGATCGCAAAGGCAAATATAATAAAGAAGAGACCCAGGGGCCGTATGTTTCACTAGTGGCTTCTCTCGAGAAAAATAGCAAACGGTGGGTAAACAAATTACTATTGCGCTTCGTTTGGATGTCTCCGTTGGAGAGCTCTATATTGAATTGGTCTGAATTCCGAATCAGTGAGGAAATGGAAATGGCACGAATACAGATTCACCTGTTTGGCTGTCCACTGAATTGGCCCTTGAAATGCCTCTGAGATTTCAATACCAAATCTTGTTTGGATGACCAACTTTGGAATTACATGGCTACATTACCAAGTTATACCTTGTTCTACATGACTCAAAAAATCAAATCTGACTACGAATGAATATATAGCACTGAAAATAAATTAATAAATATTCTAGAAATGCATAAGGAAACGCAAATGGTCATACAATGACAACAAAATATTTTCTTACAATAACATAAAACAAGTAGCACGTACTCTCAAATATGGTCTCGTACATGACATAAATCACAACGACTTAAAAGATAGGTCCAAATGCTTGACATAAACAGTACATGGCAGTACATACATAGTTCCAAGTTTAACAGGACATGAAATAGATGGTTCGAAGTTCAACAACACATAAAAGCATCGATCCTCAAGGCAACATTAGCAGCCATGTCTTCTTCATGGTGATGGAAAGCTCCTTCAGAGCTTGAAACAGGTGATCATTGAGGACCAACTTCCCATAACACCGAAGCATATCTTGCTCGGCTAAATCAGGTATCACCCCAAGTGCATCAAGTATTTCAGCGGGTGTGGTAACCTTTGGTAGTGGAATGGGCTCAGTTGTCTTGAAAGCATCAACTAAGTCCTTCTTCATATCTCCAAGCATGCAAAGAATAGGATCACCTGTTCACTGCCTCTTTGGCGCTACTTTTGGAGAGACTTCAATTGGCTCTTCTAATGGCTCTGCAGCAATCTCAGCACCTGTCTTGGCCCCCTCACCATTAGCATGATTTTTTGAATATATGATACATATGGACTCCCAGTGCTTGATTACTTTGGTCTTGTAAGACTTTATCTCCTTGGATGCCTTGTTAGCCTGCACAATAAACACAAACTAGTAAAGCTACTTCCTTGTTATTGTACATATGCAAACTATATAGAGAATGTGCACTCATGATGCATGGTTACCTCCACATATTTAGCCCAAACATCATCACTATCCATTGGGCCTATTATTGGTCCAATCCCAGCCAAAACCACTTTGAGAAAGGATCTTGCTAACGACCTCATAGTGATGATCCAAAGTCCTCATCCTTCCACTTATGTTATCCTTTGTGATATCCTTATTACACTTGTCCTTCACATGCCTTATGGCATGCGTGTACACATGTGGTTTCCATCCATTCTGGGCATGGTCACCCTTGTTGTGATGCTCAACAAGGACTTCAAGCAATGCCTCATCCATCTCATCATCCCATGTGCAATAATTCCTCCTCCTTGGAGGTACTTCTACGGCCATGGTTCTACAAGGAAATAAAATTGTACATAATAGAAAAAACAAATACAATATTAAGCTTGACAAACACCATGATTGAAACATAATGTCATTCATTAGTTGCATGAAGATGATGCATATACAAAATACCACACGCATCATCACATTAGCCAGCAGCTAGCTTTGCAAAAGAAGACCACCGAAGCTAGATATACAAAAGAAGAGCACCACAGCTAGCTATACAAAAGAAGACCACCGCGGCTAGCTATACAAAAGAAGACCACCGCAGCTACATATCATACTCTCATCCTATTCGATCTCTTGTTCTCCCTGCGCCACAAGGTACTCAACAAACATATCATCAGCTAGTTGTTGCCTAAAGTTGGACCATTCAGTAGTGACTTGCACACTTCTAATGAAGTTGTCATCATCTGGATCATCATTTGGCGCATTGGCTAATTCACTATCCACTTCAGGCAATAACAAATCATCCATGACATGTTGCCTATCCCTTGCAAAGTTGTGCAACACTCAACAAGCACTAATAATTCGAATCTGCAATGATATTTTAGTTCATAGTAAGCAATTTTCATCTCACACACTGATTTTATTTAACAACATAATTACTTTTTGTACCTGATCCTTTATGTCAAAGAAGGTTTGGGAACGCAAGATAGCCCATTTTTTCTTGAACAAGCCAAATGTTCGCTCCACTACATTCCTAGCACGAGAATGACGCAAATTATATAACTCTTTAGCTATTTGAGGCTGTTGTACACTTGCAGCCCATTCTTTTAGATGATACCGAGTGGACCTGAATGGAGCTAGAAATCCTTCTCCATTGGTATAACCAGCATCAACTAAATAATATTTCCCTATATCAATAAGTCAGTTAGTTAACAATCAAGTCAAAGAAACTACATGCCAAGAGTAAGAGTTTGTACCCTTAGGCACAACAAATGAATCATGGCGGTTCGCCCTCATTGCATCACGCAAAACTCTCGAATCTGAAACTGAACCCTCCCAGCTAGGTAACACAAAAATAAACTTCATGTTCCAATCAACAACACCTAGCATGTTAGTGGTAATGGCTTGCTTTCTGTTCCTATACCTTCCTTGGTCAGCCACATCAACAAGCACGTCAATATGACAACCATCTAGTGCTCCAAGTGCATTACCAAACCACTTCCATTTGTAATCATCAGGAGCTTGAGCGGTAGAGGAACGTAACTTAATGAACTCCCCATGTAGAGAGAGTAGGGCGTTTAGGACAGCAGAGAAGTGTGTGCTAATGGTCCATAAAGAACGCTTGTAGGTGCCACGCAACATCCTCATCTTATTACTATGACCAATTACAAGCAAGAACATTGCAACTTTCTCTTCCACTGTCACATATACACTATCACAAAGGCCACATCTCTCCCTTAACATGGTGCAAAGGTCATGAAAGTTTCATTTAGTTAAACGCAATTGATCATAGCATGCCACAGCAGATCCATCATACATGCATTTAAGCAAATATTTCCTATTCCTAATCTTGTCCTCATCATCATTATAAGTTCCTAGGTCCCTTGGTCCCCTATTCCTTTGTGTAGTAACAAATTCTAATGCAAGAGCACATGTTTCAACAAACAATGTAGTCAGAACAATTCTTTTTCTCTTCCGTCTTTTATTTTCTTCAATTATCCTCTCAACCAATTCCAATTGATCCGATATTGGGCTGTACAATTCAGTTTTATTATCTAGATGTAAAACATTGCAGCAAGACATTGCATGCACAGATGCATAGCAAAAATAGGAGATTTCAGCCATATACCTTCACTCGGCATGCAGATCGACGGACAGTTCACAAATCTGCACAATACATAAACAAAAACTTGGTTAATAACAGAGAACAGAAAGATCCTCACATAAACAAGTTATAGGTACAATGGGCTGGTCCGCTGGTGTAGGAAAGGAGATGGGTATAGGGGGTGCGCGCAGCGGATAGGGAGAAGGCCCGAGGTGCAGCGCCCGTGGCCAGAGGAGACCTGCGCCCCTGCCATCGCAGCCCTGCTGGTCGTCGCCGTGGTCCGCTGGACACCGACAAGATGCAACCTAGACCGGGGACTGAATAAGGTGAGGAGGACGGGACGGGCAGAAGCGGACCGGGGAACCGGCACCGACGCCGCCGTGGTCCTGCTGGTGCTCACCGGCAAGGTCCTCGTGGTGGCCGCCGAGATGCGTGAGGACGGTGATGGGAACAGGAGAAGGGAGCGGGGAAGGAGATGGGTAGAGGAGCAGGGAGTGGGGCCGAATCGAACCTGGGGGTGGCCGCCGAGCTCCTTGGGACTCGCCGCCAAGCTACCTGTGGTCGCCGCCGAGCTCCCTAGTGGTGGTCGACGCCGAGCTCCTCGTCTCCTTCTTTTCTTTTTTTCCTCGAGGACGAGGGGATAAGGCAGGGAAGGGGTACGTTTTGCGGGAAAGCGGCAATTCAGAGGAAATCGGAGTGCCAAGGCTCCATATCGTTGGAGGGAAGTTTTGGTGGGACTGAATACGACGCTGAATTTGGTTTTGTTTCCGAGCGGCAATTCACAGTCCAACCAAATAGCTGAATTGTAATCCAGGGAATACCAAATCCGTTTCACACACCTTAATTCGGACATCCAAACGTAGTGTTGGTAAATTGGTAAAACTTCAAATAATCATGATGATATCCATGCAATGATCATTATATAGGCATCACGTCCAAGATTACTAGACCGACTCCTGCCTACATGTACTACTATTACTCCACACATCGACCGCTATCCAGCATGCATCTAGTGTATTAAGTTCATGGGGAAACAGAGTAATGCAATAAGAACGATGACATGATGTAGACAAGATATATTTATGTAGAAATAGACCCCATCTTGTTATCCTTAATGGCAACGATACATACGTATCGGTTCCCCTTCTATCACTGGGATGAAGCACCGTAAGATCGAACCCATCACAAAGCACCTCTTCCCATTGCAAGATAAATAGATCAAGTTGGCCAAACAAAACCCAAATATCGGAGAAGAAATACGAGGCTATAAGCAATCATGCATATAAGAGATCAAAGAAGACTCAACTAACTTTCATGGATAAAAAGATAGATCTGATCATAAACCGAAAGTTCATTGCATCCCAACAAACACAATGCAAAAAGAGTTACATCATATGGATCTCCAAGAGACCATTGTAATGAGAATCAAACGAGAGAGAAGAATCCATCTAGCTACTAGCTACGGACCCGAAGGTCTACAAAGAACTCCTCACGCATCATCGAAGAGGCACCAATGGACATGATGAACCCCTCTGTGATGGTGTCTAGATTGGATCTGGTGGTTCTGGAGCTTGCGGCAGCTAGAATTTATTTTCGTCAATCCCCCTAGGGTTTCTAGAATATTGGGGTATTTATAGAGCAAATAGGTGGTTCGAGAGGCCACCGAGGTGGCCACAACCCACCTGGGCACGCCTAGGGGCCTAGGCACGCCCTGGTGCGTCGTGCCCCCTCGGGGCACCCCCATGTGCTTCTCCGGCCCATTGGGTGTCTTTTGGTCCATGAAAAATCCACAAAAAGTTCCGCTGCATTTGGACTTTGTTGGTTATTGATTTCCTATCATGTAAAAACATGCAAAAAACAACAACTAGCACTTGGCACTATGTTAATAGGTTAGTACCAAAAAATGATATAAAATGATTGTAAAACATCCAAGAATGATAATATAATATAATGGAACAATCAAACATTATAGATACATCGGAGACATATCAGCTGCCTGCTGCACATACCCTTCACGGTGAACGCCTGGCTGACATCTCGTCAATTCGAAAAACTCCAACATCTTGAGTTCTACCATTACTATGAAAATTGATGTCCGCCAAGCGTTGTAGTTGTGCCCTCACCACTAGTGTCCATCTCATAGTTTTCCTCCTCTCTCCAGACCACCACCCTGGCCCAGTGTCATCTACCACAATCTGGTACAAATGCTTTGACTCCCACTGCTAAAAAACTCGCGCTTGTGGTGGTCGATCTGTTGGAGGCCTCACTGCATCCACTCCTGCTACCCTGCCCTAGAGCGCTTGCTGCTTGTTTTTGGAAAAGAATTTGTATATGCTGTCTCCAAATAAAGTCGCCTTACCTTGTAAGCATTGGAATTTGCTTTAAAGGAGAAGAGCTCATCATCAAAGAAACCCCTTCACTCCAAAGGTTGCTCCTTGTTTATCATTATGCACCTTCACAAATAACCGTGGTCTCTGGGCCTAAACTGGAGACCTTGGGTGTAATTCCTGATCTGTTTGAAGGTTACAAGATGGTGGTTGGCTCCACACTTATTCAGGTAATGTATATTATCATCAACACTTTTGTAATAATAAGTTGTATTTTTCATTTGTGTGCGTAAGTTTTATATCAACAACACTTTTGTAATCATAAGCTGCATTTTTCATTTATGTGCATAATCTTTATACAATCTTGAGTATGCTTTTGGTACTAATATTATGTTCTATGCTTAATGAAGAGTTTGTCCATGCGTACCCTATCAATGGTGCTGGATTCTGTCAAGACCTTACATACCAGTATGTGGTGTTTTGATCTAAGCATGGTTATCGGCTTGCTGCGATGCTTTCCATGTGTGGAGAATTTGTATATACAGGTGATGATATCAAGCACATTGATATACTTTACTAGAACTAACCGTTTAGCTATACTATTTTTTAGACATTAACTCTTATCAGTCTTCATGTCTATTTAGGCTAAAGGACATGGACAAATAGGTATAACCAATCGGTGCCATAAGAAGCACCGGGATTTTCTTAGTTTTCATGACATTCATTTGAGGGCAATAACGCTGCAAGGATATGCATCCAACCATGCAAACACTAGCTTTGTCACATTCTTCCTGTTGAATGCGAGAGTTCTATTGTGCATGAGGATGGACACCTTGAACAACATAAAAGGAAGTTTCAGGTGGACAAAAGGGCTTCTGAACGTGCTCGACTTCTATTTACAACAT